TAGGTGACCGTGATCATCGGCTTCTCGGCGGCACCAGCAGTGACCTTGAATGGCCACAACTTCATGTCGCTTTGGACCGAAGAGTCCGAGAATCGCCTGCCGATCAAACGCTTCGCATCTGAGAAAGAAATCGCACAAGAACAGTCAGACGAGAGGTCCGAGAACTAGATCTACATGAAGAACATCAAGAAAAAGCTAGATTTCGACAAGAAAAGGCTAGATTTCGACTAGAACACGCAGATTTCGATCGAAATTCCTAGATCTAGTAGAGATTCCACTCACCGAAGACAGTGTTGACGGGATTCATCGCGACCTGGTTCTTGGCGGCATCGCCAATCAGCCGCTCCGTGTCGGTGAAGGCCACATACGATGGCGTCGTCCTGTTTCCTTGATCATTGGCGATGATCTCCACCCGATCGTGCTGCCACACACCGACGCAAGAATACGTCGTGCCCAGATCAATCCCCACAGCGGGACCTTCTTTCGCCATAGCTGAATCTCACAACCTCTCTTCTTTTCCTCTCTTCTTTGGGAGGGCTTCTTTATAAAGACCGGCACGGTTCTAGCAGAACTTTCTAGAAAACCCGGGCACCCACAAGCCGTAGGATCGCGTCTCGGCGCCATCCCGCCGTCCACGCCTTCGTGAATATTCTAGATGCATCGGGCCATTCCGGGCCGAAGCCGTTAGATCAAGGTGAGTCACCCACCGATCTGAACCGTCGGTTATAGGGCGCTTTTAGGGCCACGTCCGTACATCCAAATTTATTCCGTCCGTACGAAGAGTACATTCGCCGGGAATATGCCTTCGTCACTATCCTCCGCTCACTGGCGGGATGAGGGCTACTTCATCGCCGTGCTTGAGCTGCGATGGCTCGCAAACGTACTCGTGATTGAGCGCTACAATGAGAACGCTCTTGATCTCCTCCAATCCCGGGAATCGCGATAGCAATTCTTCCATACAATCGCGCGTGGTGGAGCTCGCCCGTAGCTCCAGTTTCATCTGCGACACACCCACGATCTCGCGCGCCCTCGCGAAGAACAGCACCTCGACCACGACATTGTCATTCTCCTTGCCCTGCGATTCCATGGAGAGCATTAGGGCATAGGACAAATGCTAGGGCAAACGCTATGATCTTAGATCTGGCGGAGGGATGATCGCGGGATTGAGCGCGGAGGAGGCGCGGGCCATCTCCAGGATAAATGTGGGCGCCTCCGCCTTCTCCTTCGCTGGATCCTTCTTCATCGTCGCGTGCTTCCTCCTCTTCAAGGAGCTTCGCAAGTTCTCATTCCGCCTCGTCTTCTACCTCTCGCTCTCTGTAAGTTCTTTGGATTCCATTCGAGCTCTTCATTCCAATCTCTCTTCTTTTTTGCCAGGATATGTTTTGCAGCTTCTTCAATCTCTTGGGGTAAGCTTTCTTCCAGCTTTCGATATTCTCTATCGTTTTTCCTTTTGTTTCTTCGATCACTCACAGTGGTGCAGTGATCCTGGAAGATGATTTCTTCCAACTTTCTATCGTTTCTATCGTTTTTTTTTCCTTTTGTTTCTTCGTGATCCTGGAAGACGATCTCTTCCAACTTTCTATCGTTTCTATCGTTTTTTCCTTTTGTTTCTTCGCTTGTGGCTGGATTCACTCACAGTGGTGCAGTGTGGCAGTGATCCTGGAAGACGAGGCTTCTTGTGCTACATGCAAGGCTACTGTACGCAGTTCTTCTCGGTGGCATCGTTTCTATGGACGACCGCCATCGCGTTTACGTTGCATCGAACTGTGGTGAGGCACAAAACAGATGTGGAAGAGCTCGGTCCAATCTTTCATCTTTACGTCTGGGGTATGCTCTTCCTCGCACAAAGTTTCATGGTTTTACACCACTTCTCCATGTTTTCCAGGAGCTTCTCTTATCATGACTGTTCTTCCATCTGTGGGAACTGACTATGGCGAAGTTGGAGCTTGGTGCTGGGTGCAGACCAAAGCCGGAGAGGTAATCTCTTTGCTTGGAGCTTCTCTATTGTGTGATCGATCCATTTTCTTTGTTCCAGGTCCTTCGGTTTATAAGTTTCTACGTTCCCTTGTGGGGGGCCATCTTGTTCAATGGTTTTATTTATTTCCAAGTTACTCGTATGCTCAACTATGCGAGCCGTGTAAGCAAGCAAGACGGTCTCTTTTTTCCGCGATATGGAACTTCTTGCTTTTGCAGATGGCTGCTGGCATGTCGGATCGACAGCGCCAAGTGGAGATAAAAGCCGATCTTAAGGTATAACTCGCGTTGTCGCTGGTTTTAAACTTTGGTTTGATTTTTCTTCTCTTAGATTATGAACAGGCTGGGATACTATCCTCTGATTTTAATCGGTTCCTGGACGTGTGGGACAATGAATCGCATCCAAAGCTTCATTGCTCCACAGCGTCCAGTCTTCTGGCTGTGCTTGCTGGACGTAGGCACTGCCTCTCTCATGGTCCGTGCCTCTATTCAACCGCTACGAGTCCGTATATAGAGTAGAGTTTCTTACATTATTCTTGTTCCAGGGCCTCTTCAATTCCATAGCCTACGGCCTCAACGCTGCTGTGCGGCGAACGCTACGAGAGAGACTACAACAGTAAGTAGTTGCAAGAGAGTAAACCACGAAATGGATTTTACTGACCATCCATTTTTGACGCAGATACTGGCCAGAGCAGTACAGGTGGTCTAAGCTGCGAGGCTTTGCCGAAAGCGAAATGACTCCATTGAGCTCGTCTGACCCAGGGTCTCACCTGTAAATGTCCTCCTTTTGGTCGTCCCTTGATAGCTAGCACCGCGTGCTGCTCGACGAGTGGAATAAAACGATGATGTAAGATACTCTCCCGAATTGACAGAGCAGAACGCACTTTACACGCATCCTTGCTCAAGCATCGCCTGCGCGACACGCAAGAATCCAGCTACGTTGGCACCGTGGACTAGAGCTCTGCGAATCACTGGTGAGTAGCCAGACAAAACAAAAAGAGAAAACAACTCACTCTGGCCCATCTTTAGAGTGGCCACACGCTGCAGCTGCTGCCACGGACTTTTGATAGATGTCCCTCATGAGCTCCTAAATTGAAACGTTAATAAACTGGAAATAAAAATGATAGTACCTGTAACTTGGTATCAACTTCTTCGCCAGTCCAATGCATTTGGTTGCTTTTGCTAGCCATCTCCAGCCCCGAAACCGCTACCTGTATGCAACTCAAAGCTAAGAGCATCGTGAGCGACTATCGGACTTACTCCTCCAGCATTTGCAGCTTTGCTAGGAGCCACGATTATCTTCGACTTCCTAAGCACGTCGATAGCTTCCGCCGTGCAAGACATATCAGAACCTGCAAGAGCCGTTGTTTATAAAAGTAGAAACGAAATGATACTTAACCTTCCACAATTACATGACATCCTGAAGAGATAATTGCCAGTGCATCAGAATGGTTAAGCTCGTTCTGTGTAGCACAAGGGAATGCGAGATCACATTTCTCGCCCCAAGGCCTGGCATCGTCAAAATATTTCGCTCTTACGTATCTCCTTGTATACTCCCTGTAAACGAGTGTTACAGACTGCAAGTCGTTCGAGATAAAAGAACCTCAGAGGCTTTTGCTGCGACTTCATGTCCTTTAGAAACATGGCTTTGGACCCATCGAATCCTTCGTCGTCAAGTAAAAAACCTTTGGAATCTGACAAGAGTAGACTGGTCTTTCTGGCCCGGACTATATTCACGCTTACCAGATAAGGAAACGGGGACCGCTCCTACAGCTATAAGCTTCTCCATGACGTGCATCGCAAGCTTACCCGACCCACTGATAAGGCACCTGTAACGAGCAAATTAAAAAACACGAGTGACATATTTTTGTAGAATCAGAAACAACCTTAAGCCCTTGATATCCCTGTTCAAGTCCGCCAGAACATGTTTGGCATAATACACCTGGAAAACACGTAAGATCATAATAAAAATTTACGATCTCATCAAGTCCAAGTCACCAGGCCATGACCAGCAGCTTCTGCATGTAAATTGGAGTTTGCGAGCAAGTTCCGGCCTCCAACTAAAGCACACTGTACAAAAGAATTGCAATAATTGATAACTTTCACGGCTTTGAACCACCTCAAATTCTCCAGTCAGTCGCCGATATTGTCCGTAGAGATAACCAAGCTCCCGGAATCCAACGCCAATATCTCCAGTTAGCGTATCCTACAAAAGCCAAATAAGTAAATGATCCGTAAAATGAGACACACTGACACACCTGATTAGGACCGATGTGATGAAAAAGCTCATCCATAAAGCTCTGGCAAAATCTCATCACCTGGAAGTAAATATAAATGATGCGTCCTTAGCAAAAAAAATTGTAAGAACCTCGGTGTCTGACTTTCCCTTCGGATCAAAGTCACTGCCACCCTCAGCACCACCGAAACTGAATGTTGAGAGCGCATTCTTTAAAGTCTACAAAAACGTCCAGCCGTTAGAAACGTGGAACTAGCCTCGACTGTAATATACTTGCTCGAGGCCTAGAAACTTGAGAACGCTCAAGTTAACAGACGGATGGAAACGAAGACCACCCTTATAAGGTCCGAGAGCCTGATTGAACTGTACACGGAACCCCCGGTTTACATGCTTCTCTCCCTTGTCATCGACCCATGGAACTCTGAAAATAATCACTCGTTCTGGTTCCAAGAGGCTTTCCAATACGTGGAGGTACCTTGGATGGCAAAGTCATATGTCATCAGAGCCGCATTCCTAATCAATCTATTCTAGCGACAGGATGCAACAGTAAATCAATATACAAAAGAAAAAAAAAAGAAAAAAGAAAGGCAGATACTACTTACTGGATGTTCTTGGAGAGAACCGGCTCGAGCGAGTGAACAATCTCTTGCACAGCCTGGATGTATTCACTCTCGTGAGGATCCCTTCTAATGACAGTCTCTATGATCGACTCTGCGCTCTTGGAGAGAAGAGCTAAACAAAAAACCCCGAGTTAGTGGCTTGAGTAAACGAAGACGCACACAAACGCGAAACTAAAAACGCAAAGACGAACCTTTGATGTATATAGGCCTCTCCAAGAGCGTAATTCCCCGGTCTTTCGACGCTAGCTGCAATCTCAAGGCCTCCTTGTGAAGCAAACTATTGTTATGCTCCTGGAGTGAAAAAATATAAAAAAAGAGAGGAGGTTAGAGACGATGAAGATAGCGAGCGAAAGAACAACGATGATCTTACCTCGAGAGCGCTCATTTGCATGTTGCGACTACCTTCGTTGCCATAAGGATTCCTCCTGTGCTTGCGTCCATACTCCTTACACACCGAGCAAAAAATCCTGGACGAGCCTTCCACCATTTGCACGCAAGCCCACTTATACGTGTCGGCCCACTCGTCCCTCCATTTCTTGACGACCTTCTTCTTCTTCCGGGGCTTGTCCGACGACAAGAGCTGCGCCGATAGCTCCTGCGACGACGGCGATCCATCCAGGACGTGATGCATCGCCTGCTGATTCGCAGACGCCTCGGGCGACGAGGACACCACCGCAAATGCCGCCCGCGCGAAGCTCGCATCGTCCACAACCCCCGCCGCGGCCCCCATTTCCAGATCAATCTCCTCCACCGCGCCGCCCAGGCCGTGGTGGTGGTGGTGATTCCCGGGCGATCTCACCTGGCCGCCGAGAAGATCCATCTCCGCCGCCAGGTAGCCGCCGCGCTCCCCTCCATGCAACATAGCACGAAAATATACGCCCTAAAGCGCAAAACGAGACCATAGAACTTATAGAAGTTTTCACATAATTTATAGAACTTGGGGGCTTATCTCATCACCATAGCCGCAGTCTTTGAGTTCCCATAGAACTTTAGTCGCAGAGAATAGAAGTTTTCACAGCCTTTGTCGACCACTCATCGATGCGCGTTCCCAAGGACTGATACGTAGAAGCAGGCATATCGCAGAGAATAGAAGTTTTCACAGGAAGGACATCTCTCATCGA